TTGAGATATTTGAAAGGTACCATAAGTTATGGTATTCTCTATAGTGGATTTCCTGCTGTATTAGAAGGATATAGTAATGCTAACTGGATCTCAGATTCAGAGGAGACCAAATCCACTAGTGGTTATATATTTACTCTTGGCAATGGTGCAATATCATGGAGATCAGCCAAATGAACCATTCTATGTAAATCCTCGAGGGATTCAGAGCTAATCGCTATGGAGTTGGCTGGTATAGAGGTTGAGTGGTTGAAAAACTTCTTGGCTAATATCCTATTGGGAGAAAAACCACCACCATCAATGTCTTTGCATTGCAATAACCAAGCCGCAATAGCTATAGTGAAAAATAAAACCTTCAATGGTAAAGTAGACACATACGATTGAGACATAATGTTCTAAGGCAGCTGCTTAAAGATGGAGTAGTCTCAATCGATTTTGTGAGTCAAAAGTGAATCTGGCATATCCATTTACGAAACCCTTGGGGAAGAAACAGATTATCAAAACATCGAGGGGAATGGGACTTAAGCCAACATGAAATTAACAACGATGGAAACCCTACCTTTGTGATTGGAGACCCCATGAAGAAGGTTCAAATGGGAAAAACAAGTCGTCTGTTAGTTCTGCTAGCACTATTGTAAATTCATAGTCCCTTCCTATTATGTGAGAAAGTGCTAGAATGCATTTATTAGCGAGGTTAAGTGAAAACTCTTAATGATTTCATAATCCTATGGGATGGTGTGCTCATTACAAGTACACTTGATGAAATCACCTCTACGAATGTGGAGTGGGGCCACTCTTATGAGATCGTGATGAAATCTCTAGAGCATTCGTTAAGAACTGGGCACGCGCATGGCTGTCATAACGCGTAAAACCACCGTAAACATTAGAAATTATGGGGGTATAATCTGACTCTTGATACCTCTAGCGCATACCAAGAGCTGTTGGTTCATAGAAGCAGGCTTTACTGATATCTCTATGTGCTAAGTATTATTGGTCTAGATCTGGTTCATAGTCCAAAAGACACTAGACTCGAAATGGTTATATCCATGTGTAACTCAGCTGTACGTGTTCCCTTTTGACACATGTAGGGGATTGTTGTGTATGTAAAGGGGTGTGTCAAAAGTGAAGTCCCACATTGCTTAAGAGAGAGGGAACTTAAGTGTATAAATACTATCATACATTATTGAGCTAGTGAATGGGCCTGGAGGAGAAGGAGGATCTCGCGCACACGACAACGGCCCACTGAAAGGAAACACAATTGAAAACTGGCGATTTCTGTAACATCCCGAATTTTCTGACTCAGGATGAGCAGAAAAGAGAAAATTCATTAAAATTACTTAATAGTTCAATCACAATTGGGAAAAATTATGGAATATTGATTTTCAAGGTTTAGAAATATTTTGGAAAAGTTCATTCCCCAAAAAGTGGCTTAAATGATTTTAAAGCTATTTTCATAGCAAAATGGGTTATTTTCTTAGAAAATACTTAGAGGTTTCTAATTAACTAGAAAATTTTAGAGAAATTATCTTATGAGGTAAAGAAGTTATTTGAGGCATAAAATCCTTAAAATGGGTTAAGGATTAATTTCTGGAATTAAGAGTTATTTTCTTGAAAAATTCAAGAAAAATAGTTATGAGTTAATTTTTGACCCAAAATTTTTCGAGAAATTATTTTATGGGTCAAAGAAGCTAATGGAAAGAAAGATCCATATAAAACATGGTGGAATAATTTCTGGGTTTATCTCATTATTTCAGAATTATAGTGGAAGGATGAAATTGAAAGAAAATAGAGTGTAAGGGCAAAATGGGCATTTCATTTCTACCCACACCCACTTCACATGCATGTTACTTCCTTTATATCATCAGATCATTCTCACCATCTTCATTTCATTTCCACGACCGTAGAGAGAGCACAAGAGAAGCAAAGCTCGGCGGAACTGGAGGAGTGACCGGAGGTGGTATCCATTGCATGCAAGATTGGATCCTGAACAAGGTGAGCTTCCCGAGTTTATTGCTGTCTTCATTTTCTGGTTTTGGTTCACATTACCGGCGAAGTCGAGGAGAGAGAGAGAGATGAGCTTAGAGAGAGAAAATGAACCAGTGAAGAGATGGATCAATGGATTCGAATTCTATGGGTAGATTGAAGTGTATGATGCTTGTTTTTGAGCTTGCATGTCCCTTTCTTTGCCTCTGCGTTACTGTCTGAACAGTGTATGTGGGGGTATATGCTCCATGGTTCATAAGCTTCGAGTTTATGGAGTTAAGTTGAAGGCTGAAACTGATATAACTATATAGACGTGCAAAACTCTCTTCCCCTATTCTGGTTCGACCGAAACAGGGATTAAAATGAGCCTCTGGTTGGTGTTGAAACTTAGAGATGGAAGAAAGTAATAACACGGTATTTATGCATGTGCATTTGCTGGTTGTATGCGAAGTTGCTGCTATGTTTCGAAAATGATGATTCAAAAACAAAATTTAAGTTGAAAGTTGATGCTGGGAAAATTCCAAAACAGTGACGGAATGGGGTTGTTGTTTTCTGAGAGCGTGTCTGATAGGATAATATATGGGGGAGTAGAACCGTGAAATATATAGATATATATGTGATGCTTGTGTCCGAATGCTTACCGTTTGATATTGCTCTATGATGGTCGAACAAGAGTTTAAGTTTCTGAATGCATAGGTGTTGGGAATGATAAGTAAGAATAAGTTTAAAATATCTAGATGCAATACAGTAGGTGTTTGTTTGTGGAAGTAATGGTTAAACTTAAACTTCCTGTTTTGTTGAGTGTGAAGTCGGGTTTTTAATGGATTGTTAAGTTGGAATTTGGTACTATGGGTTGTGAACAGGCTTGAGCCTGGGGTTTTGAATGGAGATATTGCAGAAAGATTTTGGGAAAGGATTAACAGAATAGTAAGGAATAGATCAATCGTAATAGAAAGAAAACAATAGGAAGTTTTAAAGATTAAATGATTGAACTTAGGAATTAATTTGGTGGCTGTTTTGAGGATGAAGGGAATTAAGCTAGGAATTGATTTGAAATTCATTGTTGGGGTTTGTTTGAGGTTTCCAAATAGTGAATGGACATTGTAAATGGACTAATGTTTATGATGTTTGGAAATTATTTTAAGGTATGGGTTAACAAGTGACAATCAATAGAAGTTATTGGAAAGGTGGTTGGAGGAATGTTAGATCAAAGATTTAAGAAGATCAATAGATGGTTAGAAATTGAAATCTCTTAGCTTGGAATCAAATGATAAGTATTAAGTTAATTGTGAATAAAAACTAAGAGAGCTTATGGAATTATTTTGGAAAAAATGAAGTTAAATGAGGATTAAAGTAATACATATAAATATGTGTGTGTGTGTGTGTGTATCTTTACTTTTTCCATGATACCAACCACTTAATAGTGGAACTGAATTTGGAATTGGGGACACGGAGTTACCCTTAAATGCAATAATTAAAGATAATATATTTGACCAGGATGACCAGTTATTAAGTAAAGTAACTATATGGGTTAAGATAAGGAAGGAAGCATTCCAAAGAGAATAGTTTGAATAAGAAAAATTGTACAGGATGATTAACTATCATGTAAGGGTAGAGATTACAGAAGATTTGGAATTTAAAGAGAGTTATTTAATTTATGAATTACAGTTGGATCAAGTGTTAATCTACCCTTACCAATATGATAGGTTTATATATCTGCTCAAGCCCACCAAGAAGCAAAAAGAAAGGAAAACGGTAAGGTTTGATTTGGAGGGAAGCGGCCCAGGTAGTAGTTCTTTCCTACCTTACACTTGTGTATGATTGCTACATGTCTGTTTGTGCCATATTGCTGTTTAAAGCATGAGAACATGTAATCCTTAATTCTTTGCATGGATTATTTAGCCGTGATCATGTGTAGCTGATAGACATGGGGCAGTATTTGCCAATTATTTGCACATTATTTATTCAGCTTGTCTATCTGTCATTGCGATTAATGCTTAATTGCATTAGCTTGCAAGGTTATGTTCCACTTTGGCTTGTTTTGCATGCTTTATGTAATCTGCACATTTGTTTGACAGAAATTACTATTACGGAGATTCTTTAGAATCCCACCCTCCCATTTATGATGAACAGCGAAGGCTAGTAGCTCGAAGGATAAGGAGGTTGTTTGAAAAGAAGGTGAGCTAGTTGAATAGCAGAGATGGCTATTATATTCTATAAATATGTAGCAAAATATCTTAATAAGTTAACACTTATTTTATTATATATGTTATATGGGTAAGTAACTTTACTTGCTCTATGGAAATATTATTTTGTATCCTCTATAAGAAGGTGAGCACTGCCGGGTGCAAGTATATGCTGTCAACCAAGAGCGTTGCTCTATTTTTAATATAATATTATAAGATTGTACAGTATGAAATTATTTTAGGTGATAATAGATTAAGTTGAAAGCAGGGTTGATTGTAGATCACTCTTTAATTATTCTAAAGGTTTGAAATGTTGATTGATTGATTCTAATGTTGAAAAAAAAAATTTCCTGTCTTTTCCCAAGTCGGAAACCTGGCATTAGTGATTTCACAGACGTTAAAATGATCCTATTAGTATCTAGAAAGTTAGGTGTTGCAATTTCCCCCCTGCGCGCAAATTAGAATAGTATCGGGTAGAGCTGGTAATACGGGCTGGCGGTGCGGATACGGGCCAGCCCGTAGCGGAGCAGGTTGAAAGCGGAGCGGGCTCAAGTAGCCCGCATTTTGGTGGGCTGGCAGAGTGGAAGCCTATACCCGCCAAGGCGGGCTGGCGGGCCTGTATTTTTTTTTTAAAAAAAAAAACGAGAACATGCTACTTTTGGCACCTTTTCACACCTGAACGCATTTTTCATTACAGATTACAACATTCAAGGACAAATAAACATCTAGAACAGTTAAAAAACACCAACCAGCGTCCAGCAACAATTCAACATTAATTCAAGTGTCCAAAAATTAAATATTACAAACAAAACACATCTAAAGTCCAAACATGATCTAATCGGGTGGGACACTTGAAGCATTAAATAAAGCTTCTTCAGGATTGATAGAAACTATTTCTTCTTCAGGATCATCTTCTGCCATACATAAAGAAGAGTATTAGATTTGCACTGCTCAATTACACTTAATAGAAAAATTAATATATATAAAACAAATAAGCAAATATGATTATATTATCACTAAATGGAAAACCAAGAATCCAATTACGAGTACAAATGAGGGCTTGCACATTATTCGGAAGAAGACTACTTCTATACTTTGTGAGAACTCGTGAACCAATACTAAAAGCTGATTCACTGGCAACCGTGGTTATGGGAATGCTAAGAATATCACATGCCATTTTTGCAAGACAAGGAAACCGAGATGAGTTACTCTTCCAATAATCCAAAACCTGTAGGTTTACAAACAAGGTAGGATCAAGTGTTGCCTCTTCCAAATAATAATCTAATTCAGACTTTTCTATTGTCGCACTATCTTTGCTCTTGCATTCAAGATAATCCTACATCATAAGAATAAAACATTAGTATTTAGTAACATTGAAGGAAAATATTTAACTATTAAACAAATTCAAACTTACATCAAAAGCATCCAAGTAGTTAGATTGATCCCTCACAGAGAAATTAGGCAGCACAATGTTTGCAGGATGAATGGATCTAGCATTGTAACTTGATTCAGTTTGAACAATATGGGTTGGAGATGAAGATGATACCAGATTTTTGTACTCATTGAAAACACTGTACAACTTGCTCCTAACATATTCAACCTTCTCATGACAATTTATAGGATCAAGTCTTGAGTAAGAAAATTTTACGATATCAAACTTCATCCGTGGATCAAGGATAATTGCAAGTGAAAGAATGACAGAGTATGACTCCCAATATTTCTCAAACTTGTCAAGCGTTCTAACAGCCATATCTCGAATCACAGAATCATCATTATGCATATGACGCTTTAACATTGACTCAATTTTTGATATTTGCATGAAGTACATGTTAGAAGTGGGATATGTTGACCCAGACATCAAATTTGTAATCACTGCAAATGGCTTCAAGAATTTACACATTGCTTCTGCTCTAGCCCACTCTTCATTGGTTGGACAATGAGGATAATTGGTGTCATTGAAAGCCAAATTAGCAAAGGCATGACGATATTTAAGTGCACTTTCAAGCATTGCATGTGTAGAATTCCATCTAGTTGGGACATCTAACTTCAAACTCACTGTTTCAGGAACTTCAACTTGTTCAATACATCTCTTGAAAACAATTTTCCTCGCCTCTGATTGCCTTACATATCTAATGCTCTCCCTAATCTTATGCATAGCATCACTTGCTACTTTCATACCCTCCTGAACTATAAGATTCAAGATGTGGGCACAACATCTCACATGAAAAAACTCCCCATTGCATAGCAAGTCATTATAAAAATTCAACCTCTCTTTTAATAAATTTTGCATGACATCATTTGCTGAAGCATTATCCAAGGTAATAGAAAAACTTTCTTTTCAATCCCCCAATCAATCAATAAATCATGCACCCTTTTAGCTAATTCAACCCCAGAGTGAGGCGGCTCCATTTTAGAGAATGCAAGTATCTTACTATTAAGTCGCCACTTCTCATCAACAAAATGAGCAGTTAAGCAAAGATAACCTTCACTAGTTATTGATGTCCAACAATCACTAGTTAAACATATTCTACTAGGACAATCTATCATCACTTTCTTTAGATTTTCTTTTTGACTAATATAAAAATTCCAAACATCCATCACTGCAGTTTTTCTAGTAATGTTCTTATAATCAGCATTCAAATATTTGAGCAACTCCCTAACCGCTTCATACTCAACAAATGAATATGGTAAATCATGTTTAATGATACAAGCAGAAATCATTTCTCGAACTTTGTTATGATCAAGTTGCCTGGATCTTACATTCCCTGCATGGTCTATCATCATGTCACCAATGTCTTTATATTTTGGCAGTGACACACACATCTCCATATGACGCCTAAGGGTTGAAGTTCCATACTCCTTTCCACCGCAAACATATGGTTTTCCACATCCATTACAGGTTGCTTTTTGTTTGCCATTAACCACACCAATTTTAGTAAAAAACTTCCAGACATCATATGTATTTTTCTTTGCCCTCTTATTTGAATTATCTTGCACAGAAGATTCAGGGGTTTTTCCTTGTACAGATTGGTTTCCCCCCGTATTTGTTTCATCAGGAACGGTAATCTCAACTTCCTTTCTTCCAGTTCCACTACCATCAGTAGCCATTTTTCTTTAAAATTAACTTGCAAATATCAACACTAATCCCAATAATCCAGCAAAATCAACCACAACAGAAAGAACAAATCAAAGACGAGCGGATATCCAACAACAAATCCAACAGCCAAGCAACAATCAAAGACGAAGAAAGCAGAAATCGAAGGTAAGGAAGATTTGCCTGAGAGGACGAGTTGAGCTCCAGCAACTGCCCAAATTTTGAATTTGACTCTAGAGACAGCCAGCCAAAGTCTCGAGCTTGCGTCTTGCAATTTGCGAAACAAGGTTGCTGCGCCTGCGAGCTTGCGACACGAAGATGATGGGGCTGGGTGATGGCGATGCGAATCAAGGAGACAAGAAGCGAGGCCGTGTCGCAGTGAGCTACATGCGTGGTCAGCGTCGGTGCCGGTGATTCTGGTTTATGGGGAGTGGGGAGTAGCCGAGTAGGGACTGCTTAGTGCGTGAGTGTGTGGTGGGCTGGTGGCTGCAGGATGATAGAGCGAAACTCTGAATTCTAAATTCTGGAAGGATGAAGGAGTAGGGGTGAAGGTCAACCGAAGGCGATTCAGCGAAGGGCGACGGCGAAGCGCAAACTGCGAACTGCGAAACAGCGAAGTGCGAAGTGCGAAGCTAGGGACTTACTAACTTAGGGGTTAGGGCAGGGGCGCAAGGCAGCCGGGGAAAAAATTTTTTGGGTTGGGCTAAAAATTAAAAAAGACTTGGTGAAGTTGGACTTGGACCAGGACCACCATATAGTATATAGACCATGAGACAAGAGTGACGAGTCCATGATTGTGAGCTTATGAGTGTGAGGTAGCGTAAAAAAAAAAAGAAAAAAAGTGGGCTAGCCTGCCAACCCGCGGGCTAGCCCGTGGCGGAGCGGGCTCCAGGCGGAGCAAGCTGACAAAGTTCAAATTTCAACGGGCTAGCATTTTCCCAACCCAAACCTGATCTTTTAAGCGGGCGGGCCTAGCCCGTTTTACCGACTATCGGGCACTTTTTATAAAACACTTTTGCAAAATTAAATTATAAAATGGTGTTAAGAGAGCTTATCAGAAAATCCTTCTTTTGACCATTTATTTTTTGTAACAGCCGAAGGTTACTGAATGTTGGGAGTTTTTCAAACCGTGATTAATCCTCCATTAATCCTTAAACCGTTTTTCATGGATTAATGTCTGGTAACGTCTGGAATTTATTTCTTAAACGTAACCAACGTTCATAATCGAAGGTATAATTACAGATTATTGCAGTAACTTATAAAACCGACAGATTAATTGTGTTTATGGTGGTGCCCAATGGTCAGGTCCTCAAGGCCTATATAAAGCGGTCCAGGATAGTGTGTTTTGCATCTCGCTCTTGAGTTTTCGAGCATCTCTTCCTCCTCTGTGTTTCTCTTCTTCCCTCTCTGCGTTTCTGTGCTGCTGGGTTATATTTTTCTACTGTTCTGTTACCTTGTTTTCTGCAGGAAGGGTTCGTTTAATCCTGGGGAGTGCCGCACTCACGTTTACCTATGGTAGCAGAATAACTCTTAAGGACAGTGTCTACCGGCACGACTTGGACCAAGCTGATACACACTTCTAGTTTTCTTAACAAAAACTGAAAGATGTGTGTGAAAAAGAAAGCAAAGAGCGGCATTTTGATTAACACGAGAAATTAATTCCCACCAAGAAATAACCTTTGTTTTTATTTGAAATATCTAGGATTTATGTCCTTCAGATATAGTTCATAGTTTTAATAGTCTCTCAAGTCTTCTCTCCTATATATTGTTATTCCCACCTGGGATGCAAAACCCATTTTGAAGCCGGGACCGAAGGTTCCTGCGACCTCGAACTGCATAATCAGATTTTGTTATTTAAATAGAGAAGCTTTTGAATTTTTCAAAATGTTAAATAATTATAAATAATTTATTATCTTATGATTTTTAATATTACAAAATTACTCTTCAAATTTACAAAATATTAAAAAGTAAAACTACTAAACAATAAAGGGAAAATTAATTTATTACTCCTTATAGTTTCATCAGATATTGAATCAATTCATTTTAAATTTATTTTTTTTATTGGATCCTCATATTTTATTATGTTAAGGCTGCTGACCGATAATGTATTGAGATACATTTACTCTCTATATATCCCTCAAGCCGTGACCCACACTCTCTCGTCAGTTGAGAGAGAGTAAGAAGGCACGGGGAGACAGGTGCGTTTAAGAGAGACAGGGGAAGATGCTTCTCATTGTAGTCTTCAAATAACTAATTTACAAATAATAAATAATTAGTTAAAATTTATTAAAAATATTTTTTTATTTCTAAATATACCCTTATAACAAATGAGGAAAAAGATGAAAGAGAATGTGTAAAAAAATGTAGTAACAGAGAAATCATTAAGAGTAACATTGGAAAAAATGTGTTAAATGTTAGTGTTCACATCACAAATGCATGGGTCGTGACAAGTAATAAAGTGATAAGTAAAGCATTGTTCACACTAGGACTTGGTTTCAAAACCTGATCAAATATTGATTATCACACTTTCGCTTAATTTGAGTAATACAAATATCAAGAGTGAAAGCAACTATTTGTAAAATTAAAAATTAATAAAAAGAAAAAGTGATTCTTCAATTCTAATGATTCAAAGGGACCTAGGATTACTTATCCCCCATATACTTCAAAAGTACTCAATTAAATCCCCATTATATTTGCTTCTTAATTATAGATTATATTAGCCAAGGATATTAAATTACCTATAAGTGCTCTCTCAAGTCTCCAAATAGATGTTTAGCTCAATTAATTCCTTAATCTCTCAGGTCTCCAAATACATGTTTTGCTCAATTAATTCCTTAATCTCTTAATTAATTAATGAAGCCCCAATTTTAATTGCAAACCTTATATGATTATGTGAGGTTAATGAGTATATCTCTATATCATTAACAAAACCATCCATCCAACTCGCACATTTCAAGTTCTCTCATGATTTTACCCAAGTTTTACACTCAATCTAGTCTTCTCAAGCATCCATTAAGTGAATCCAACAATCTCACTAGTGGCCAATCAATAAGAAGCATTAAGCATAAAGTAAAATCAACACAATCATATTATTAATCACAAATATAAAGGGGAAATGAGTACTTAATCCATACAAGAGTTCAAAATAATCCTAGAATCAAAGTATTAGCCACACATACTCAGAAAATCTATGTGAACATACATCTATATCAACACAAACATGAAACAAGAGTAGAAAAAGCAAGATGGAGAGGAAAAACCAAAAAAAGAAGCCCAAATCTCTTCAAAGCTCTAACTCCTAGCTCAATCTCCTCTAAGAAGCAAGCCCTAGCATAGCCAAATACTCCCAAGAGCCACCCAGAACTGAAGAATGGCAACCAAAATTGAGTTTGGAGCCTTAAAACCTAGAATTTTTTTTTTGACTTAGTGCAGCTATGCATTTTGTTATTAGCGACCGTGCTGCGGCCCAAAAATTCTGCGTCACGGCCGAGTTTGCCTTCGTTTAAGTTGGGCCGCAACCAGGACAGAGTGCACCATAGCTCATTTTACACTACTACAATGAAGACTTTTTACTTCTGTTTTGCATGACTTTTTACGTCTGTTTTGCAGGGGACATGAAAAGAAGGGACATAAAAAGTACCCCCCTTTTTACTTCATTTTGGAACGGACGAGAATTCACGTCTGTTTCCCAAAAACATACGTGAATTCACGTCTGTTAATCTTAAAACAGACGTGAATTCACGTCTGTTTTTGCGAAACAGACGTTAATTCACGTCTGTTTTTTTTAAAAAAAGATTCAGTTCGTATATACTGCTTCTCCTACAGCCACAATAGCCATAATAGCCACTTTCTAGCAAGTTGAAATAGTATGAACCAGTCAATATTTTCAGCCAAGACATATCAACATCATAACTTCATCTATATAGACACATTAATTAACTAACTAGTCAAAAAAGAAGAACAAATTACAAAAGTCAATATTGATCCTATTGTCTCTAAACATAAACTTGCTCAATCCCTGGACCACAATTCTTGAAGCAGTTGCTGTGCCAAAAGGTCTCGGATGAAGTTAATGTCATCAATAGTATATGAACAATCATTATCAAAAATCTGTAAATTGACAAATGAACAAATTTAAACATAGGAAGAAAATAAAATAAGTAACAATTCAATTTAAAAATTCAACTATTACAAAACTAAAATTATATTTACTTACCTCATCAAATTTTGTAATACATCCGCTCTCAATAATCTCAAACATATAACGGATAATGTAATATCCGCACTCTGTTGGCCCTTGTTGCTTAGCACACTGCAAATCACAAGGAAATGATAATCCAAATTCATATATAAAATAACTGCCATCAATGAAAGAACTTCAATTTAAAGTACTCACACTAGGATATACCCAAGTTGTTGAGCCATTTTTCCCGGAACGCTTCCCACCGGTTATATAATAAGTCTTTAAAGCCCTATAAGCAAATGAAAGCACAAGTTAAATAATTTATATTGAAAACAAAATTATTGATCTACATTAAGGTACTTACGTGTTGAAAACGCCCCTCATCTCACTGCTTGGACGACGACCCAAGGGATCAAACCAGTAGATGACATTGTCAATGGGACAAGAAACACACAAACTCCAATGACAACTGCATCATAGAGTAAGACTTATACATTACTGGATATCACAATAATTCTTAACAATTTAAGTATGTATAAATAAATATAATTAAGCTACTTGCCCTTCAATAATTGGTGCCAAATAACAAGGTAATTTAGTGTCTCCAATCGTATTGCCCACATATCTGATTCTCCTATCTAGTGGGTTGTACTTCTTCTGGACACTTGCAGGGCATAAATATCCATACAAATTTCTCTTCTCCATTGATGACATGCATTTGTTATGGAAGAAGCTATCATTGAATTGAAATAAGATAATTATTAGTATGTGAAAGTAAGAAATTAGAAATTTAAGTTAGAAATGAAAAAGTAAACTTACATGATTGCTAAT